CTCAGTTGGAAAACTGTTGACGCTAGGGCAATAAAAAAAAGTATATGTCTCTCTTTACGAAAAGGTGACATAATAAAAAGTTTATTTACGTTTTAACCAGACTGATGAAACAAAATGAAACCACATGAATCGTGCATTTCTAAATTATCAACTATTCAGAATTTATCAACAGAATTGCACTTGAAGCAAGTTACACTTATATTACAAAAGTAAATCTTTGCTGCATACTGATAAAAAAAAATTAAAAATTTTATTAAAGGCAATTTGTTTACGAAAATGATTCTCTGTCATCTGATTTTACTATTTTCTTTACAATTTTAAGTCTTATTCGTCTCGATTCTTGTGCATGTTATGTGCGGCCTTCTCGGTTCTTGTACATATATGTGCGAGCTGCTCGATTCTTGTACATATATGTGCGAGCTGCTCGATTCTTGTACATATATGTGCGAGCTGCTCGATTCTTGTACATATATTATTGTTTACCTTGGTTAATGGAACGTTTTTTCTTGAACTTATAAGCAAAAGCATCCTTGCAGAAAATGCGTGCCAAAAATAGCAGATTGCTAATTTCTTCACCAGTTTCAAACAAAAAAAAATGACATCAACCTGCGTCTTGGCCGAAGATTGTGATGATTAAAGCTAGTGGTCTAAACACTTACAAAGTAGCAAAACGATATCGAAATCTTAAAACAAATTGTCTTCAGTGGCGGATCTAGAACTTTTTATAAGGGGGGGGGGGGGGGGGGGGCACTGACTGCCATAAGAGAGAGCCCGCTATAGTCATGCTTCAGTGATTCCCTATATAATCAACCAAATTTTTCCCACGAAAGGGGGGGGCGGGCCCCTCAGGGCCCCCCTGGATCCGCCTATGGTCTTTAAGAACGTTGGTTTTCCCTGATTGAGGAGCCAAATGCAAGGAAATAAACTTTAATATGTTAACAGCTGCAGTTTTACTGTGACGTGTGGTTAAAAATAACACAGTCTGATCAGCATAACGAAATAAAATTAAAAACAACTTTTATCCAGGTATTTTTGTATTCATATCTTTTTGAAAATTTAGATAGCGTCTTTATGGTCTACAGATCATATATGCAATAAATTAAACATTTTATTTACCATATTCATATTTTCAAATTATATCATTTTATCAAACATAAATGTCATATTAGAATTAACACATATAATTTACGCTCTTATGTTAGTAAATAAAAGTTTCTAGTATTGTGATTTATTTTTCTTGCTGAAGTTTTATATCTTGGTCAATACATATATTGGAGTCCTTTGATAATAGTAACAACCAATATAAAATTAATAAGATGTGGTATAATTGCCAAATGAGACAGCTCTCCAACCGAGACCAAATGACAGCACGACATTCGAAGCATTTTTGGCTGTTTTTGGTTGTTCCGTAGATAAATAATACCAAGAAGGCAGGGGTTAATTTCCCCTGAATTTATTTGACACTATGGTCATTTTTAAAAAAGTTTTCTAGTCGTTACTAAAATTATCAGTATGAAAGCTTCATGTGTGTTCTGTGAAGTTCAAACAAAATAACGGCGCATTAACGAATATATGATAAAAATTATATATACAAAGCCTTTAGATGGCTCAAAATTTTGGATAATTTTGAATAGTTGTCACAAAAATTACAAGAAAGTCATTCTTTATCAAGACAAATTTGATTAAAGGTAAAGCTTTATTTTGTATTTCAGAAAAAAATCTTTAAATTGGTGTTGACAAACCATCCCCTTCAATACAAAACAAAAATAATGTAAATTTTTTTATATCATATTAAAACTTCCTTTAATATTCGTAAGCCTTGGCTCACTGCTCGACAGTAGACGCCAGCGACTTTTTTCACAAAAAATCTTACGATTAAAATTGATCGTAAGTTATACCGCAAAATGTGTATGACTTACGAGTATTTTTACTCTTAAGATTTTTTTTTGTGAAAAGAGTCGCAGGATTCCAGACTACAACAACAACCGTTTGTCGGATTGGATGAATATTATATGTGTTACTAAATTTTTGTAAAAATTTATTGCGAATTATCCAGACGTTCAATATTCTAATGACAGTATGTTTTAACAACTTTCGGATTTTGACTCTGTTCGTGAAAGAAATTTGGGGGAAATTGGCCATATCTCTTCATTTACGATTTTTTTTTCAAGTTTTCATATGTGCGCTAGACGCAAAGTTATGGCAATGGACTACACTGCCTTTTTGTCAGCTAAGCGTTTGTACTACCAGTAAAGTTCTACTTTCTGTTTTGGTGATTACGAATTATCAACAGAAGATACGGTTATACACCGTATACATAGTTCAACAGAATCAAAAGTTATTGAAGATTTTTTCGCTCACCTATTATTCTTAATGACATCACGTAACTATCAACATTTATATCTGATAAATTATATGATGTCTTATCCGTCCTCAGGGTACACAGAAACATAGTTTACAAATGGTGTGACGTAGCTGATGCTTTTACGGTCGGAATGGAGAAGACCATGGATGATCATATTCGACCTCTGGGGTCAAAATAAAAAAAAAGAAAAAAGAAATTAAGCACGGGACGAATTCAATAACGACGAAAATAAACTGGCGTTTGTCTTTTGTGTGTATACTGTTCTAAAGTGGTATATTTGTAATGAGGTCTTTATCTAATTTAAAAAAAAACGTTATCTAGAGTAACTATATTTTGTGAATACAAATTTCTAAATCTTTAAGGTTATCTCCCGAATGCGAAAGTATTTTATGCTGGTTTTTGTGCATTTTCTAGTGGTACCTGTGAGTTTTGAGTGTGTCCTTGGTATTTTCTTCTCTTCTAAATCCTGGTTGATTGCTCTACAACTAACAAAATACTTTCGGATTTCCTTTAAGTAGTCTCAAGCACCACTGATGATGTCAATTTTTCAAAACGTGCAAATGGTGCAGAATCATGTAATTTTGTATTTCTACTATGGGGTCGCTTAAAAATGTTGTACAATAAAGACATTTTAGCTGGCTATACGATGTTTTCCTTCGTAAAATTTGATGTAATATATTTTGGTCCTCCTGTTTTATTCACTTGACCACTTGTACAGTTTCAATTTTGTTGAGAAACTTTGGGTTATCTATAGAAACTAAAAGGTCTGTATTTGGTTGTATGTAGAAACTGGAATGCCTGTGTTGGGTTTTCTATAGAGACTATAAGGTGTATTGGGCTGTCTATAGAAACTAGAATGTCTGTGTATTGTTAAAGACGATTTCAAGTTTACTTCAATATTGAACTTTTCGGCTTTGCAAAAAAAAACATAAATAAAAAATTAAAAAAAACATAACAGCACCGTTACCTACTTTGAAAATATTCATTTCGAAAACAGCTAATTTATACCTCAAATAATTCACGGAGTTTATTTTGTTTTGATCAAATTATAAATACTTTACAATTCCGTACGTTGTAATGTAAATAAGCAGATGTAAAGGTGTATACTGTATTGAAAATTCGTTTTTCAGAGATTATGAAAATTGACATATTTATCTAATATTGTTTGTTTGTATATAACTTGAAATGCCATCTGAAAAGAGGTGATTTTTTATATGCTATCAATGAGACAGTAACTTCAAATATTGAAACCATGATGTTAACATAATGTCTAAAATCCAAACCTAAAAACAAATTCATCAAGTTTTCCCATTCAGGTATCAAATATATACAGTATAATAATTAGCTTGCGATCAGCAATCACTGAATGAAATATTATTTGTCGATAATACATTTTAGATTCGTGATAAAAATTAAAAAAAAAACATGCATAAAGGACTTGGTTTAGTATATATGCATGCATTGGTTCAATAATTTCGATAACATTAAAATTACAAGAAACTCGTTTTATATGACTTAAAAAAATAGGTTGATTAAAGAAGTGTTACTGCAATAACTTTACAAATATCAACTCCGCGGTTTTCTATGATATGTTTGTATACTGTTGTTTGTCTTTTGATCTTTTTCTTATTTGTCATGGCGTTGTCTTTTTATTTCCGACTTATGAGTTTGAATGTCGCTTTGGTATCTTTCGCCTCACTTTTGCAAGAAAAGTGGGATGTAGGTCGAAAATCATGTAGGAAATGCAAACAAGAGACGGATATTATCATCTGTACAGAAGCGAAGCTGAGTCCCAAATAATTATGTGAGATGAAAAACTGGTCCATTTCCCGAAATTATTTTAAATGTTAAAATATACATCATGTTTCAATAAAGCAGCGACACAACATACCAGAATTAAATCACGTATATTTGTTATCTATTCATTTTACTTTTATCCATTTACTTTCATGTTTATATATATATTTCTATTTCGATGAAAAACACAACATTTGACAGTTCGTGTTCATAATTTTCTCTGGTAGCCGGAGTAGACTTTATCTTTCTAATATCCATGTCACAATCTTTTCCGCCTTCTATATAACGAAATTTCTATGAGAGTTTCTAAATGAAGTGTTCGCATAAAAATCAATATGAATCTATACATATATCGAGATTAATTTGAGTTAATTTAATGCTTAAAAGCTTTTGATGCATGGTCTTTGATTTTCCACATAATTCTTCATTTCCTGTTTTATGAATGGTAAATACAAAGCACTTCACGCCAACAGAATAGACTTTCTTTTGACAAATTACGTAAAGCATTTAATAGATTTCGTAGAGAGTAGTATGCAAATACTTGCCACTAAGATGTCATTTATTTAACATTCGTTAAAAAAATGCAAAATACTACAACAGCTATAAGGAAGGAGCATATAGATTTGTCAAAACCTTAGCTTTGTAATCCAAGACAAGCAGTTATAGGTGTAATGACATTTTTTTTTTAAATAAACTGAATCATTAGTAAGCAATGAATGTAAAACACGAACTGGCATAAAAAAAAATATGTTTATACTTCTTTGATATGAAAGTCAGTCCCGTTATTTTAGTTGATACAGGTAAAGACGACTGACTAACTACCTATAACGGTATGATATACATGTTAACTGTGCACAGTAGTGTCTGGGTCATTTAAACTAGCACCTGTTCAGTCAAATCGTACTAGGACTAGAAATCAAATTTCATTGATAAATGTTATGCCGAACAACCTGTTGACATTTCAAATTTTCTTTCTTTATTTGGAATAAAGTGCCTATCTTTGGAATAAAGTAAAAAGTATCTCAATCCATACAAGAGAAACTATTTAAGACACAATAAAGGTAAGCTACATATAAAAAAGTTCTATATAATTGCTACTGGAATCAAAGGATGAAATTTGTCAGCATGGGTTATATATAATGAACTTGTGTGAGTACTTGATGTTTTTTTTATTATAGCAATTGCTATACTACTTGATCATGGCTGTAAAAAACTATAGTTCTGACGATTTGGTTTGAGACCATCTTGGTAATTTGATCTCGAATCATGTTGCTGGTTTAAAATTAAAATTTTGTACATCAGTGGAGTTTATGTTATGCTAGCTACAATAGTGTTTAAAGCGATTGAAAGTACATCTTTCAAACGAGTCAACCTCAGAGATCTAGATTATATATATGGGTGATAAAGTAGCTATTTGAAATTTCCTTATCATTTATTATTTGAAGATGATTTAACAAATAAAACAGGATAAAATGTCAAATGATTTTATTTGGTACACTATAAGAAAACAATAACCGAAAGCTTGTTTTTTTTTTGTAGAAACGAAATATTAAAAAGATGTTCATGAAAAGTTTGAAGCTTGACCTATAATTATATTAGAACATTAATTTGCGTCTCTAAGTATACATGATTGTTATGACAGTAATAGTCGTTTTAAATGTGTAAATGTGCGAAATAACGGGAGACACTAAATAGTTATCATCGATGTCCTATAGGGCATTATATGGTATTTTATTTAGATCGACTTCAAACAGATTTTTAGTATGATTATGAAAAACGTACTCCATTTCGCCCTAATTTTAAGTTCTAACACCTTAATACACGGTCAGTCTAATTGATTAATGATATTTAAAAGTCCCATACTAAGATCTTTAAAGGAAGGATGATATGTTTGATATATTTGAAGTTGATCAATTAACTGAGGTGTCGAGCATAAATGTAAAATTATCCCGACTTTTTCATTCCAGTTCTGTTGTGGATTTAATATCATATTTCTTTTCATGATATTGAATAACATTGATATGCAATACAATTTTGATGTGCAAGTGTGTTGACATTTCAGTAAGTACCTTTACTTACCAATGCGTTTCATATCAAAACAGAAGAACTCTGCCTACAAATTATGTCATTCGTTGCCCAACAAAGGACCTGAAAATCAAAACGACAGCAAAGAGACGAAGTAAAAATAGGCACTCGGTAACTTAAACTGACTGAATCAACAGAGTATTAGAGATGAACTAATTTTGTAAATTAGAAAAGATAGATTGGGTTACATGAAACAAAATAGGCAATGGTCGTTGTTTTTGAGAGTTGCTGGATTGTTTTCAGTGATGAACTAAAGAGTTCATTCTATATAGACTTTGTCATGTAGAAATTAACATCTTATTCCAAATAGTTTTACCGATCAATTAAAAAGGATGGATTAAGAAGCAATCGAAGATATCTTATACTTAATGCATTCCGTCATTTATTGGTCAGTATATAGTATATACTAAAACCTACATAAAATTCACTGAAATAAAATATATTAAATGGTCATTCAAATACGGATAAAATAAATGCATGTGCCTCATTGGTTATTTTTCAATTTTGTTCCCCTGAAACTTATAGAGTCACGTTATCGCGAGACTTTATCGTCATGCTAACATAAGTGGTAGCTGTTAGCACATATTTTTCCATTGATGTTCTTTTCATTTTGAAGAAAATCATTCTTCCTACATGTTTTGTCGCCAAATCATATGAGCATAACAGAAATTATGATTTTGGTCACATAAAGAGCAAATTTGAAAAAAATAGGAATGATGCTACTTAGCAAACTACATCAAAAGGACTACACACGATCGAGGCGAAACATACCAAAAATTTACGAACAAGGAAGGAAAGACGCACTAAATAACTACAGCTTTGAGAATACAATGCGAACTCCCATAAAAATAAAATTCGGAATAAAATTAAATGCTTCTAGGAGTAAGTATCTCCAGCTTCATATGGATATCAGTCGTATTACCTACTGATCAGACCCAAGGTATGGTCAATGACAGGTCTTGTAATACTTACAGAAATATGATTAAAATATGTTTTGACACCAACCTAATAAACATCGATCCAGTAGTGATGGCGATCGTAACACTTTTGTCAAAGTGTGCTTGCATCAGTTTTGGCGATATATAAACCTGAATGAACAGCCTATATGATCTTGTTTTGGTGATCTATAAACCTGACTGAACAGTTTATATGGTCTTGTTTTTGGTGATCTATAAACCTGACTGAACAATTTATATGATCTTATTTTGGCGATATATAAACCTGACTGAACAGTTTATATGATCTTGTTTTGGCGATATATAAACCTGACTGAACGGTTTATATGATCTTGTTTTTGGCGATATATAAACCTGACTTAACAGTTCATATGATCTTGTTTTGGCGATCTATAAACCTGACTGAACAGTTTATATGATCTTGTTTTGGCGATCTATAAACCTGACTGAACAGTTCATATGATCTTGTTTTGGCGATATATAAACCTGACTGAACGGTTTATATGATCTTGTTTTGGCGATATATAAACCTGACTGAACAGTTTATATGATCTTGTTTTGGCGATCTATAAACCTGACTAAACAGTTTATTTGATCTTGTTTTGACGATATATAAACCTGACTAAACAGTTTATATGATCTTGTTTTGGCGATATATAAACCTGACTGAACAGTTATTTATATGATCTTGTTTTGGCGATATACAAACCTGACTGAACAATTTATATGATCTTGTTTTGGCGATATATAAACCTGACTGAACAGTTATTTATATGATCTTGTTTTGGCGATATATAAACCTGACTGAACAGTTCATATGATCTTGAGGAAACTCCTGAGGGGTGAACAAACTGTGTTAGGTATCCATCCTATGCAGGTGAAGTTAAAAACCTTTTTATTTGGAGATGATATCTTATTTGGTATTAAAAAAAAATTGTCGGTCAAATTAAACGGTTTGATGACGAATTTTGGAAACAACATGGCATTGACAATTCAATGATTTTTTCTTTCGAATCATTCTGATTATCAATACGTTTATTGGTGATGGATATATACTTAATTATGTATAGTGTATGGAAAAGATCTCGTTAGTTGAAATAAATTGTATTCGATACTTTTGTAAAATGCTATACTATCAAATTTGTTTAATCTAACCTATAAGCATTAGTACGAGATCACGTATTTAATGTGTAAAGAGTAACATAAAACTGGAAAACTTGAACATCTTTAGATTTTTGTTACATGTATAACATTGCAACACATTTCTAGATATTTTCAAAGACTTACTGTGACTTGACTGTAAATGTTGCTCTCCACCTTTTGCAATTTATTCAAAATTCTGACCAAATTGCAATTTGTTTTATAAAACCAAACTTTTCAACTGGTTAGAAATATTATCAAAATACTGTAGAAATCACAGACTAGCAAGGTGATAAAATGAAGCATACTTGCAATCCTTTTAGACTTTAATTCCACTCCAATGATATTATGAAAAATCAGTCTAACAATTTGTATACACATTTTATTGTAATTGTCATGCTAAAGGTGGAGGTAGTAAGTTTTGAATTGCTATAAAAATGTCCAAACTAAGTTTTCATACAATTTTTCTTTCGAAAAGTCTTCTATATTCATAAGAATAATGATTTTAGATTATCTCCCATGGAAACTTACTAACGGATGCCAAAAATGGGTAGGTAATTACTTTACTGATCCCATTTACACATATAGATAGATACATGTATAAACAAAGATGGAAAACAACTGGATTTGTAATTATGATTTCAGGGTCCCTCTAACCAAAATTTCTGGATTAACCATTTGTCTGATATAAAACAGTTTTTGCTCAACGAAGCAATTATAAAATGTTAACATATTTAGCATATTAAGTTATATTGCTGATTACCCATACGTAACTGATAGCATAAACCATATCTGCTCATCAACCCTCGGGATATACAGTAAAAATATTAAATGTGTACTCATAAGAAGGTACAAAGAAAACATTTAATTTGAAATAAAGTCCTATGTCAATTTCTATTGTTTCGTCTTTTATGAAAATACAGGAACAAATCCAAGCAGGTTTTTTTTTATAGTTCATGTTATTTCAAACTTTGATAAAGCTGGAATTAAATTCGTCAAGTAAAAATTTAAATAGGTATGTAAGGTATGTCTTATGTCTTATGTTTGTTTGTTTTAAATGATCTACAAAACAAATACCTATGAATGATTGATATTTCATTATCGATGTCTGAATTGTGCAGATAAACATAAAACAATGTATATCAAAAAATTTCTCCTGTTGTACTTTTACCACAGATAACTTTAACTAATGGTTAGATTAAATGACCAATATTTTAAACTGCGAAATCTTTTTACTGAAATTTGATAATAAATTGCTTCGCCGAGCGCAGCTGGATACGACCGCAGAGGTCCAACCCTGTACAGTTGGGGCAAAAATGGACACAATATTCGCGCTTGACACAGGTCTGAATTTGGATTGTAATTCAATATTTGACACATAATAGGTTTCTGACACAGAATAACTATTCAAAGAACTTAGAATTGGTTATATGATTTGAATTTGTGCAATACACTATGCTGTTGCGAATTGACCTCCCCCCTTTAAAAAAAATAAAAAAATTGAAGGATTTTCTTTTTGATTTCTGAAATCTTCAGGAGAAAAAATTGTCCCTCCCCCCCCCTTTTTCCAAAAAAAAAATTCTTTCCCGCAGTCATGGTCATAATTTCAATTCAAATTTCCATGGAGTTTGCAACCATAATAACCCATTTAAATACATCATAAAAGTCTTAAAATAGAAAATGACATACATAATCATAGCTAAAATTAATTTACCTTAATCAGCGTTTTTAAAATTATTAAAATAGTAACTTCTAAAAATGAATTGACAGCTAATCACTTCAAGACAATACAAAAATTATTTATACATAATTTAAAAGCAGTGTAAGGGAGGTAATTCAAAGTAGTTTTTGAATTACCTCCCTTACACTGTAATTTGTAC